ATACGTACTCCATACTTATCACCCTATTTTTGAGATTTTGTCTTTTTTTTAAATACTCGGATAGTTGGCTGTCCTATTCTTGTTCGAAACTGGGATACACAAAAACGCTAAATAAATTGGCCTTCATAATTGTTAGCATTACCAACACCTCAAGGTTACCCAACTATGGGTTATATGTTGATAATGGAGTGGGCCGCAATATAAGGGAACTCGTCGCCAGGACTATTTTAAACTACTTGTTGTAGCTATCAAGTTATAGGTTGCACGGACCTATACCTGATGTGTAGCGGATCTAGGAATACTTCTGTATGGAAGAGTATGTATGTATATGTGTTTATTATATGAGTATATGAAAAACTAACAAGAGAGGACATAAGAGGGGACAGGACGAGAGGGCAGGTGATAGCCTAGACGAAGGGTCGGGGTTAGCCTGGGGGCTAGGCTGACATCCGAGAGACGACGACCTCGACTCCGTGAGGCGGCTCCTTATATACTGAGGTTTCTACCTCAGTATTGTGAAATAGTGACGAGGTGCGTCGGCGGAGCTGATGAAACCTCGGTGTCTGTCTCGAGCTGGCGCATGACTCAGCATAGCTGGCCCATGACTCGACATCTCCATTCCTTACGGAAAGCTCGTCCTCGAGCTTTGTGAACCGATCCGTATGATGTTAAATATTTGATGAGAGATGTGCGAACATAGAGGAAATTATGGGTCAGCAAAATTTGTGAGAAAATTGAACTGCCAAACGAGACAAGATGTTGATATGGGATACAGGCTACCCTCACGAAAGGCTAGTGTGCCACTCGTTCGAGAAAAAAACTCGTCCTCGAGTTTGAAGAATGAGAATTACGTGGTGATGAATACAGGTGCGGAGAAAATGTAATCGATGTGACAGTGGGTTACAACAGCGGTGCTATTTCAGTTATGCTTATACAATATAGCCTAATTTGTGTGATATTGGGTTTTATATCAGTTATACAACATGATACTTACCATAAAGGAAGCGTGGTGGATATTATCAATATAATGCTTAGATGTGACAATATTAATATGTGGTGTTTGAATAAACAATATTCACTTGCATATGATAGTCAGCTTTTTTGCACAATTCTAATTACTAGTCTAGTTATGTAATACGAATAGTAGCTAGTAAGCTTGACGAGGCGTATATTAGTCTGTGTGGGATTCAACCAATATACGGACAAGTGAGAATACTATGATACGAATTCTAGACTTAGCACTGCACACTTTTGGTCGACTAGTATAAGGGCGTAATATTGATATTACAGCGAAAAAAAAAAGAATTTATTTCCATGAACCGCCCATTCAGGGAAATGTGTTGATAAGAGGACTTGAAGTTAAAGTAGAAATTTTAACTTACCCAGGGCTGTGTTCTCGCCGTGAGAACTTTTGTTGTAGCTCAGTCACAATAGTCTGCTGAGCTTTGCCGTTGCTGTTTCTCCTGAAGGCGACGAGACCGTCGTATTATTGATTGTTCAATGCTATTCGGTGCTTCTATATTTTGTTCGAATGATGGTGTTGTGTTTGTATTAGAAGCATCAAGTGGTATCGAACGAGGAGAATACAATTTCAAACGGTTAATATGAACTGCTTGTCGCACTGGGCGACCTACAAGATTAGTGATCGTGATATTGGGGCGATTGATTTCTTCAATCACAAAAGGGCCTTTCCACTGGTTTGTGTGTTTGGGACGAACTGTGTCGTCGTGCAAAAGTACGAGGTCGCCAGTGGAAAGATCCTTTTGGTATACCTTATTGTGAAGATCGTGTCCCATCTTGTATTGAGCAGTTTTCGAGGCGATCTCCTTGCCAACGTGCATGATGATGTTTTTCAGACCAATGGTGAACTGGTCCGCGAAATCGTCCAAAGTTAATGACGTCGAGGAAGGAAGTTCATGGAGTATGTCGCTCCATGTGATGGGACATCGTCCATATACGATGAAGTATGGACTGTAACCTGTTGTTACGTTTGCACTGGTATTGCAGGCAAACACCACGGGTTGCAATAAGTCACTCCAAAGATCTCTGGCATCTGAGCAATATGCTGTAAGAGAGTCTGTTATTACTTTGACCAGTTGCACGGATTGTGATATCTCATCGGCTGGTTCCCGATATAGTCACTCTACCATTTACTTTATGCAACACAGGGCGGAAGTCGTGTAGTGGCACGTAGAGCACTACATAACCCGCACGGTCTGAAGTTCAGAGCTCGGATCAATGCCCGACATCCCTCAAACAGAGTTTGATGAACACTAAGGAATCTATCCTTCAACTTTACTTGTGCAACACAGAGATCGATACAACTTCAGTTTGCAAAACATTTATTTGATCATTTTACTACATTTCATTTGTAACACATGGGTAAACACAATTCAGGCTTACAAAACAGTTATTGAGTATCTGGTCTAGCGGATTCGCTTGTAGCATCCAACCTTCTCACTATCTCCCCGAGACCTCCATATCAATTTATAGGTTGTACGGACCTATACCTGATTATCGAGTGGATATTGGACTCCTCCTCGATTTGCTCTATTTCGAGCATTACATCCTTTCTTTCCGACTTATTCTTGCATGCCTTGTACTCTTCCCTTATCCCACTATAAAGAGTTTTCAGCTTTTCTTGGCCCTCCTTAAGTAATCTAATGCCGCTTTGCAGGAGCGCAATCGTAGACTTACAATTGTCGTAAGGTTGCTTGTCTACTGTGGGATATTCCGATCTGGATGTGGAGGCTCCATAACGCGTTGTGTGGTCTTTAAGGGTGCTAGCGGATGAAATTATGGGCTTCTTGTAGAAATGAA